CGTTTTAGGTAGGCGTGGCTGACTCTTAACTTTTATAAAGAATATCTCTTTGGATTTGAAACTTTAGTCTTTGCAACTTTACAGATCTTCTTTATGCACCAAGTGCTTGTAACACTCCAAAGAGAAATGAAAAATTTTAATCGCATCATATGACCCCTTTAAATGAAAAGATTAAGAAAAAAGGAAATTGTGCACTACTGTATATGTGCCCCCTTTTAACCGTGTCTGGCATATATGCATAAAACCGAATGTGTCATTACCCAATATTATATATAAATTACCTAAATTTATATAGATTTTATAACCTTTAAGGGTCTGGAATTTGGGTGACAGCATTGAATTAAAGTTTTGTACAATAAATACAGCTAATAAAGCTAGTACAAAATTACAAACAGCTCACTTAAAAAAAGTTACGGAAACTTAAATTATTTAAATAATTCTTTATTCAATTGGTGAATCTTTTATTTGGTCAATGAATTGCTTAAATGAATCATGTTAACAAATTGATTCACTTAAGATTCACAAAGGATACCTTTGTTTTAATTAGCTACTCCTTAAATTGAGAAATACTTTCTCAATGAAATGTAAAACATTTTTGTCAAATGAAAAGATTAAGCAAAAATCGAATTATGTGCATTATGCTATATGTGCCCTATATAACTGCGTATATCTGTAAGTGTCATGCCAATTACCCAAAGCTCAAGGAATCTTTTGATGATCTAAGCTCAGTTCAAGATGGAGCTTTTCAACTGACTCTTTGGCTGTCAACAAGCTTCCTTGCTGTCGATTTGCCATGTGAGAATCCATCCCTCTTGGTAATAAACAGAGTGCAGAAGGGAAACAGAGCAAGAGTGGGGAAATTAAAGAAAAGCAGACAGAAGCATTTCTAGCTTATTCCTGCATTATGGCGCATTTCCATTTTTTCGCCTCAATCTTAATCTCCATTGAATGACTGTCATTGCCCTCCGGCAGTAATTAGGAACGGACTCTGGACAACAACAGACAAGTTGGCCTAGCTTGTCTCAAGCAGCTAATTACCTTTAGCTTATGGTAAGCAATATTCCGTGCCAGGCAACTTTTAATGCTGATTAGCAATTAGCCCAAACTACCGGCAGCCGAAGAGCTAATGTTTAATTTGGTCTGCTAATGATAGACTCCCATCTAGTGTGCGCAAGCTTAGAGAGCGAACTCAAGGGCAGGGGGTTGGGTGTAGAAACGTATGGATTTCTTCTTAATTCCTTTTCATTTACAACCTGACAGGCCCTCAGGTTGTAAGGAAATTTCTTAGCGATTAGTAATGGCTGCCCTCTCAAAGTGGCAAACGGATGTTAATGCTTCTCTTCAAGGCCTTTGCCCAGAAAAAACACACTCCTGAGGCTAAATAATCATAGTGTTTTCTTTCAAAAGCACAAAATCGCACAATAAGGTGACAGCGAAAAAATTAACTGCACTACATGACCAAAACTACATGGACACCTCTTGCTAATTGCTAAAAGGTGCATAAAATCAAGCATACAACTCCCTAGACAAACATTCAGGTCCTAAAGAAATTGAAATGGAGTCTTGAGTGAAAGAACTTGCCCTGAACTACACAAAACTCAGACTTGAACCCTTTGGGATGAATTGGAACTGCTAATGCTAGTCAGACACCATATTAAAAGTGTTACACAACTAACTCTCAATGGCTGCTAAATACCTTGTTTTCTGTAAAGAGGCTCTGTGTTTGTTTGCAAACATGAGCAAGGGGTGTCAGCGGGGAATCAAAGTGTTCCATAAGACCCTGCTAATCATTCTCATGTTACCAAGCACACACTTGTGGGCTGGACCCGCCAAATCAGGTGGACTAGCTGCAGCACTCACTCAGAGCAAGTTCAGCATAGTTGCTTGTTAAGAATGTGCAGTGGTTACCGTGGGAATTATCCCATCCCTCGAGGCTAGGGAGTTCTCGGCAGTAATGAACGGCAAGGATGAGGCTCGTTATCCTTCTCTGTCTGTCTGATATTCAGCCACAGTGTCTCATCGCGTACACGCGCCTTTCTCTAGTAAAGATGGAGGATAGATGGTGGATTTGGCTCTCACGTGGACCAGAACTTCGAGATATATCCCCTGCGGTAACGTTAGAATGAGAGATGATATTTCTCAAAGCATTTGAAGGTCGTCATCAGCCAGGTTCAGGTTGCATGTGAATATGGTTGTCAGTTCTATGTGCTTAATTACTTTCTGTACACATACTGTTGGGCTATTTTTAGTTTATTCTATGACCAAATTAATCATTTTCACACTAAATTATTGTCTGTCGACTGGGAATATAGTGAACAAGTCGTATGGACCATGAACCAGTCATGTGAGGTCCACAGAAAAGTCAGCTTTTTCAAAAATATATTTTATCTAGGGCTGTCCACATTGTGTTGGCTTTCAAGTATTAATAAAATACATAATATAAAGTAAATATTTTCCAGATAAAAGTTTACCAACTAGCTATGGCTTTGGCTTTTTTATTTTGAATGTAAAATACAAAAATTATAAAATATTTAAAAACCTACTATTTAATTCAAGAGACATATTTTCTTGATAATATATGTACAGTATTTGAAAAATAATATGTTTTTTGAACATTAAAGCATGTCAATATATTCTGTTACACCAAATACACAAAATAAAAAAAGTTTAAAAAAAAATAAAATTTTAAGCATCATATGACCCCTAATATATTTCTCACACAGTATTAATGTTTTTAAATGCCAAAATTATGCTCGGTTACATATTTTAAGAGGAGTTCCCCCTGATGTGGAAGAGAGCAACAAGTACAATGAATCAAAATGACTCATGTAATATTTCTAATAATATTTCTATTATTGTGTTTTATAATAGAAATACTGTGCAGAAAGACATAGGGGTTTGGAATGACATGCGGGTGAGTAAATGATGATTGATAGCTAATAATTAAAATAAATAACATTAGCTTATTCTGGATCGAATAAATGACAATCCTGGATTTAGGGAACAAGTTTAAAAAGGATCAAAAAATGCAATTCTTCCCATAGGGAGTGATGTTGTAAACTTCAGGTGTTTCATGTAGCGTTTAAAGGAAAGCAGGTTGTCCACGTTGACCAGTGTTGTATGTTGTTTGTTTACATTTTCTTTCTTAATTCTTCTTCCACCCTTTGTTGTTCTCTTCATCAGACAAAACCGAGATATGGCCAAGGTGTGGTTTTGCTGCTTGGCAAGGTCAAATGCAAAGGGATGTTTTCCTTCTCCTTTCCAAAGTCCACAAACCTAACTTTTTTCAAATCTGTGTTTCTGATTTGTGCAGGCTCTTGGGAATGACAGAGGTGGAAAATAAAAGGGGCCTGTGGAATCGAGTGGTAGGAGAGGTAGAGAGGGACAGAGAGAGACAGAGGAATGGATTGGAGAAAAAGAAAGAGAAGGAGAGAGAGCACTAGAACATGGAACTCTCTCACTCATCTTCTCGCTCTCTCTCTTTCATACACACACAAAAACACAAAAAAGACTGACAGGCTGGAGCTTCAAAGCTTTAGCTTCTCTCTATCCTTCCTCTGGTGTGGAATTTCAATGCAGTATTTCATTTTTCATTGGGGGGTTGAGGAGGGCGAGAAGGCTGGGGCAAGATGAGTGTGTATTCTTTCAGTGATCCACTTCTGTCCCACGGCGGCCCTCTTATAGTGCTGATGTGTTTTAGTAAACTAATATCAACACAAATCCAGCCAAACTCCAAATGAACAACATGTGAGGTTGTCGGGAAGTTTAGGGCACGGTGTATTTGGAAACTACAAATTCAGCAGATGGCAGGCAATAAAATGTAGCAATAAAATAACAAATTTACTAAATATTTCATTTTAAAAATTATTTTATTATAAAATAATTTTATTTTGGAGTTTATTTTGGATTTTTCTTTGGATTCTGTTTTGGATTCTTCTACCATTTAACAGTATAAACTAGAAACATATAAATCCCTCACACTAGTCAAGTTGCATCATCACAAAAATCTTGGCAACATTTTAGTCAGTCTACTGTTCCTTCCTCAGGCTTACAAAACACTTCCGTGGCCATTTTTTTACCATTGCCAATTTTACCATATTTACAATAAGTTTCAATTTGTTAATATTAGTGCATTAGGTATCGTGAACTAACAATAAAGAATACTTTTACAGCAAGTGTTAATTAAAAATAATATTTAAAAATAAAAACAAGCAAACATGAATGAACAATATAGTATGTATAATTTAACCTAAATCGATAAATGCTTAAAATATTTTCAAGAATTAATTTTAAAACATTTTCAAAAATGAATTTATTTACTAATTTTAACTAACTGAACCCTATTGTAAAGTGTAACATCCTGCAACACACTTTTTAATCCTTCAGACTGTGCCAGGCTGAAACCCAGACTCTTAAACTCAACTTTTTTTTTTTCTTTTTTTTTTTTTTTACAAATTGTATCCATCTCCATCACCCAGTTGGTGGCTGGCCATAGACACCTTTGAGCCACCATTATTTTATCTTAGCGTACTTAAAGGTCTGTAGGATCCACAAGCCTTTGAGGGTAAGTGGTGCCTCTAGTGGCACATCAAGGAGGTGAGAAGAGGCAGAGAGGTAAATGCTCAGGGGTACCTCGGCTATCTCAACCTCTTCCTGGGGTGCTGCCCATGAGGGGCGTGTCAGCGTGTTTCGCCTCTGATAAGGAAAGGTCAATCTGCTACCATCATCCTATGGTCCGGCAGAGAGGTAAATGCTCAGGGGTACCTCGGCTATCTCAACCTCTTCCTGGGGGTGCTGCCCATGAGGGGCGTGTCAGCGTGTTTCGCCTCTGATAAGGAAAGGTCAATCTGCTACCATCATCCCATGGCCCAGGGCCCACCGAAAATACCAGAAGAGAAGTCAAAGAGCCGAGTTTTTCTCACTTTAGGCCCCAACGTTGAGAAACGTCAAACCTAGCATTGCATTTTCTCATATATTCCTTCAGCAACTTTCACCGTTTTACGATTCCCCTCTTTCGAAGCGCACAATCAGACACATTCTTTTTGGTTTCCAGCCCCCACCCTCCGAACCATCTCGCTCTGTTATTTCTGATTAGCTGTAAACGAGCAAATATTTTCCCAGTGTTCGCCAGGTTAGATCCCCATTTAATTAAACTGGCTCATTATGTCGCTCTCTGATTAGTGGAGGGGAATCAATTATTCAATTCACAAACATGGGCCGCAGGAGCTGGAGGTGCACAAAGAGCTGCTCATTTAATTCCAAGGACACTAATTAGCTACAAAGCAAAGCTGCAACTTTCTGTCTCTCTCCCCCCACCCTCCTTCCTCAATTACCGCGAACGTAGGACACTGGGTGTGAGGAGTGGGGAGGAGGGCTGAGGCAGACGAGAAGAGGAGAGCATGATGGGAAACGTAGGTGGGGCGGGTCAAAGCGTTCCTCATTTGGCAGGATTCCCGTCTTGTTAGCAGGGTCGAGATGTTGTGGACGGCGGTGTTATTTGCTGATATGTAGATTGGACGGAGAGCTAAGTATCCAGGAAATGACCCGAGGGATTTCCAACAGCTTCAAACTCAAAGGCCTGCCACTTTTGTTCTCCACAATCAAACGGCGGGCAATTATCCAAATTATTGACAGCAGATTTCTCATTTCAACTGCGAATTAAGGCTATCAATAAAGCTTTCTGATGCAAAAGTGACTAATTAACTGACGGAGTGGAGCTCTGAAGCTGTGTTGTAAAAAGAAAAAAACTCCAGTCAGTAGCACGTAGTGGAAACACAGGGGAACTAATTAGTTTAATTATCAAAACAGCTAATTAAAATTACACAGTTGCCTAATTAGTTCTGTGCTTCTTGCTGTCTCTCTCGCTCTCTGTCTCTCTTATTTCCTCTTTGCCCTCTCACTCTTTAATTGACAGGTTGAAGTTAAATATAAAACAGGAGGAGAGAGAGAATGATAAGGAGAGGAGAAAGCGTGTATGGTACAGAGAGTTTAACGCAATATCTCGGCTGATGCCGTCTGCGCAAGTGGCAGATCTCTGGAGCAGGAAAACAAATGACTTTCATCTTAGCAATTCCAGATTTTCTACCACTAAAGCATTTTTGATATGAACAAATGAAGAATCTGTCCTCTTCTTGTTACCCTGACCACAAACAGCATTGCCATGTTGTAAAAGACCAATTTAAAGCCACAAGGTCATCTATGTGCTGGTCTACTCCTAAATGTTGACTAAATTCACATTTACTGGATATAAAATTTAAAATGTTTTTCTCTTTCAGGATGATGGAGCAGTGATGACATCTTGCACTACACAGATTTTTGTCCAATCAGATGCTCTCTTGAAGGAGAATGTCCCACCCCCTTATGCCGCTTACAACTGACTAGTAAGTAGTAAATCATGGCAGTTATGTGGCTATTAAAAAAAACAAAACAAAAAACAGATTATCTATTCAAATAGAGATACATCATCAACACAGGAAAATAAACTCCATGAAATGGCTAGACGAGTGCAGTTTTAAGTCAACAACTTGAAATCTACATAAAAAAAAATTTCAAAGATATTGTTTCATCAAAACATAAATTGCTCAACACTGAAACAAGGTTATTATAGTTAACTAAAACTTATTACTTATAAACTAACTGAAAAAAAAAAATATATATATATATATATACACACACATAACATAAGCTTATTTTATTTCAGCATTTCTCATTTTTATTTAGCTTAATTTGATGTACTAAAATAACAAACTAAAACTGGAATAAAATATAAAAAAATATTTTTTTAAACTCTATACGTATAGACAAAAATAAAAATGACAAAAACACAACAATTAAAACTTTAACAGAAATGAAAATGAAAATCTCAATGATACTAAAATAACTCTGCTCTGAAATAACTTTCCTTATGAATAAATTCCAAGTCCCGCACAGAAGTACAGTATGTTACATTAGTAAAATGGATGTAACGACCATTTCATGCTGACTTTAAGTCTATTTTGAGATGAAAAGAGGAGCAACATTACTGTTAATAGAAAGGACAATGAAAGCAAAAGTGTATATTTCCTATATTAAGCTAAAATTACCTGGCAGAAGAAAGGCACAATGCGATACTACTGTAACATACGCTTACTGTATATAAAAACATGTGTTGAGGGGCTGGTGTCACGTTTAAAAGCGCCAGCGGAGGGCCCCTTTCATTGTATGGCGTGTATCTGTGTATCAGATCGGCCTCTGAACATGCAAATATGCCGGAGGCCCGTCCTACCACCTGGCTCCTTTTGGCCATGCTGGTATTTTTAGCAACGCTAATCAGGCAGCTTATTATTTCTCGAGTTCACAGAAACTTTGAACTCCAGACTCCCTCTGCCTAAAAGATTCATGAAGGCCGGGCATCGGGGGACCTGCTTAAGTTTGCAGTGGGGTCAGAGATTGGCGTTATCCCTTCGGCAAGTGCAGAAAAACAAATTGCATATGTTAAGGGCATGCCTGGTACATAGCGTATTGTTCGATTCACTCTTTCTTTTCCCAGTGTCCATCTTATACCTTAAGCTACTTTTTAAGCTATACAGAGCTAACAAAACAGCTCAGTAAATAAGGGTAATAGACAGCCCCAAAATGCCTGAATTGGGCTGTTTGGTTGACCTTCAACTACTGATAGTCAACCGGTAGTTATACAAACATTTTTAATTATGTACTACCCTGAACAGACACCATGACCTCAAGGACATTTGGTCTAGTGCTATTTCAGTATTATTTATGTAGTATTTATTTATTATTTTGAATTGGCTTTTTTTTTTTAATTTCAGTAATTTTGTTATGTGCTTTTGTCAATTTTATTAGTTTATACATATATACACACACACACACACACACACACACGTCTTGTATAGACCTTTGAAAAATAGCTGACTGAAAATTCATCAAAATGTTTTCGTTTGTGTTCCACAGATTAAATAACACCAGACGAGTTTGAAATGCTATGCAGGTGAGTAAATAATGACAGATTTTTCATTTCGGAGTTCCTTTAATAATTACGCTAATTTCTTTTTTGTTGTCATGTGTAAGAAACTTTGAAGTTGAATTCTTTAGCACACTTGCGAACCAGGGGACTTTATACGATTGTGAGTGAATATGAAGGGTCTTCCAAAGTGAAGGCATTATGTTTCTAAAATTATTTTTTTCATTAGCTATATATTTTTCTATTTTAATAATTAACTATTTTATTTCTTATTTTATTATTTACTACAACTTTTTTTTCAAAATGTTGACTATTTTCAAACTATCGCTATTTTAATGTCATTATGCTTAGACATTATTATCATAATTTCTCAAAGTATTACTACATTCATTTGATCTTAAAGGGGCTTTATCTTGAAGTTCACTCAAAAATGAACATTTGGTCAACATTTACTCACCCTCACATCGCTCCAAACCTGTATGTTTGGTACAGTATGAAAAAAAAAAAGAAGGGAAAAAAATATATATACTGTGACAGTCAATAGCTACATTTTTCTAAATATCTTCTGTATTCAGCTGAAGAAAGAAACTCATACAGGTTTAACTTTGGTACGGCATGAGGGTGAGTAAATGATCAAAAAAAATTTTTTTGGTGTGTTTTTTTTGTGTGGGTGAACTATCACTTTAATGTTTGACTTTGTCATAAAAGTTATAACTCAAGGTATGACATTCTCAATTTTTGATTTATTCATTATTTAAAATATTACTACTTTAATATGACTTTATTCTTGTAATTTTGACTTTTATTCTCAAAGTATGTCTACTTTAATATTGAAGTCTATTACAGTAAAAGTCCAATTTCAAAATTACAGCTTTATTCTCAAAATGTCCTGGTCCTAGGAATTCCCATGCGTAAATGTAATGCAAAGTTCTCCAAACATATCATTATGAGTCGTGGTGGTACTATTCCCAGTTTCTTAGCGTGCTAAGGAACGATAAATGCGAGTCTCAATTTGCCTTCATGTTAAAAGTTCAAGTCAAATATTCATCCTTTGCCTGAATCACATTCCGATTTTTTGTGCTCTAGAGTCGAGCGTGTTGGTATCAAGTCAAACAATGTGTGCATCTGTTCAAAGAGTCAGAATAAGATGGGTGAAACTCTTTAAGAAAAGCCTTTTTTGATTGCTTCAGATGCAGACGTTCGTCTCTTGGAACAGAACAGAGCTGTCGCAAACTCCATCTTATTTACATTTTCTTTTTTTTCCCACCCCACACACATACGCCGCACTGTTCCAGAAATGCAAAAGGGAAGGGAAAAGAGCCCAAAAAAGAGTGTCTTTCAATGCCAAGGTGCCAGGGCCTTCTTTTAAGCCGTAAATGTTCTGACGCAGGAGAAGAGAAGGCGATAATGAGAGCTGAGCTCCTTTCCAAGACGTCCGTATTGTTTTAATTGTTCGAGCCACATAACGGAAGAGAAGCGAAGTCTCTGAGCCGCAGCGCCAGCATTTAAAAAAAGAACAAACCTGGCTTTTTCCAATGTGTTGGAGCAATTATGTACAAACCCTGTAATTATGTATCTTTTTGAAACATGTAAAGCTGTATGGAAATGAGTCTGGGCCGATTTAACTCCACCTCCCACCCCACCGGCAATGCATTGTTTGATATTTCAGACAGTTTTGGAGAAGTAATGGGGACTTTTAAGTCAAGGTTTTGTCTGAGCATGTGCATGTACGAATGTGGGTGTGAGCGCGCTGAGCTAAAAGGGGAAGCTTTAAGCCGTTTATTGCGGGAAACGGCGAGAAAGCGCTACAAAAACACACCCCACGTGAAACTCCTTCTTCCCTTCCTCATGCATCGTTGTCTCTTTCCCCTCCCCCTTTGCGCGCAAGGTACCACCCTTAATTAAGTCTGCTGGGGTTTAAAAGTGTTGAATCTTGTTTAAAGAGCACATCTCAGCACATTTAGAGGACCGCACAGGTGCACGCGCAAGCATGGTAATCAGGCCATCCGCTGGCATTTGAGTGGAAATCTTATTTTCAGACAGATTCACCCCCCACACACACAGACACACACACACTTGTTTTCCCAGCGATTTCTGAAAAGATGCAGCGTGTCTAGAGATGAGAAAGCCTGGCCGATTGTTCCCGGCTGTAAGTGAGAATATCTCTGCTCAGCACCTCTGTTTCGTGTAATTACCACTCGTTAATCCTTTCAGAAAGAAATTCAATTACTTTTATCAAGGTTATTTCATACTTGATAGACAGCGCTGATGCGAGGGTGCAATGAAAGCGGCCGTTTTGTGTTTCTGGCCAAATAATTGAGCTACGCCTGCTCTTCCAGGAGAATGGTCTTCCCAGAACCACGACAAAGCGACTTGTAACAGCTCTATGAGCAACCAATAATGGGGACATTATTCCGGTTCACCAGGAGCTAAGCACCTGTTACGGCTCTTCAACGCAGAACCGACCCTGACATTTCAAATTTTCATTTTCAACATTGATAACAGCTTATTGACAGGAGTCTATGCCGGTAAACCGATGAAGGCTCCTTAAATGCACGCAAAGTGGTGAGATTAAAATCAAATAGGTGTTTAGGTTTTCTTTCTCCCCCATTTCTTCATTCCCTCCTTTTTCTGCATTCGTTCCCTAGACCCTCTCTCAGGAAGAGCAGTGGAATCTGGGTAGCTTCCCCCCTCCTTTCCGCACCAATTACCCCTAGATGTATTTTTTTTGGAGTGAAGCCAGATAATTGTGTAATTATCTGACTGAAATGGGAAGTCTAATGTGTTAAAGTGGGGTTTTTTTAAGCCGTGGTGTATGGCAGGGCCAACCTGAGAGGTGGATGCTCAACAAGTGATGAGATAAGTCTGACTCGACTGAATACAGCCAGGACCACCAATTCCACATTGGAGAAGGCTTGGAGACCAGGAAATTGAGACCCCCGGGAGACCCCCAATCCTATATATAGGATATATATATATATATATATATATATATATATATATAGAATCTTACTCTTTCTCTTTATTGTGCTCATTAAATAGTGAACACTATGTAAATAATGATTGTGACCTCTAAATCTCTAAATAGCTAAACCTGAGTAATATAGCAATAACAATCAGATGATGACTCCATTGCTTTAATCGATGAATAAAATAATGAACAAACTATCAAAACACTAGAATTCCTAGGAGATCTGTTCCCATTTAACAAGAACAATATTACATTGACCTTAAACCGCTTCTCTTTGCACATGATTTCGCACTGGCAGATCTGAGATCTTGGCTCCAAGAAAAAGCTGGTGGTAAACAGCAACTTGTGAAAATGAGGGTTTGGAGGGAAGAGAAACAACACAATGAAAATTCCGGGGAAATGCAACATGAGATATGTTGTCTCCTTCAGCGGTTGTTAGGAAATAAATTGCTTTTGAAAGTAGAAATGTTTACCTCAATTGAGAGACGTTTTATGCCCTTGACAGGAAATTATTTCACAGCTTCTCTTGCGGTTGCTCTTTCCAATGGTCATGTTTTCTTAACCTTACAAAATAACTTGGCCTCTACATTCACCTGGAGTATAAACACTTATTCTGTGTTTTGAGGCCTCTCTCAACGGGTACCTTAACTAATTTCTTTCTTCTGTGGAGGAACTGCCAAGACAGAATGGATGGAAAAGAGCCGTGCTGCTATTCTGACTACTCCCCATATTTGCCCTTTGTGTTGAGTATGTAGCAAGTGGCAGAAAGTAAATGGAATGTAGAATTGCACTGACAGTCAAAAATGGGAGTTTTTTTTGCTCTAAATTTGTATTAAAAGTGTGCACCTTGCTCGCATAATATTGCAGCTGTTGTTAGCAAAACAAATCATATGAACTGTACAATTGAGAGTAAAATTTGTTTATGGCTGTTAATGTTTGTGTAGTGTAGGCACCGTTGGCCCATTGTTGGCTTCCCGACCAATTTAGAACTTATCACTTCAATTTAATTGAGGATGTGGCTGAACATGGGGGACAGACGGAGGACTATTGAGCATATAAGGTGAAATCTGAGGGTACATCAGAACGGAACATTGCAGCTATTCAGTGTTAGTCTGCAGCGCTAATGATTCATTTTATTGGAACACGTTTTCATCTTAGTACCATTTGAAGAGTTTTGGACTACAGACTTGAACAAACAGACTGTGACAATGATGACAATCATTTCAGACACTAGCAGTTATAGCAGAAACAAGTTCAAGAAAAAAATAAAAAGCTACAGACCTATATATATATTTAGGAAATATCTATATTTTATGTATATAAACATTTAAGTATATACCCATTCATTAACTCATTCATATAGTAAGATTAATTTATTCATTCAGTAAATAAATACATTCAGGAACGAATCAATTGACTGCATGTATGATTGAGTTTGTGAATTATTCACTTAACCGTTTTGTTCAAAAACACTAATTTATTCAGTAACAAAACAAGTGACTACATTTATGAATGAGTCATTTAAACCTTTGCTTAGCTGATTCATTTAGTTTAGTCATGACAACTCACAGGATAGACTGTAAAATCTTTATTGGTGTAAATAGAATGTGGTCAGATCATAAAATTAAAAGGAAACATGCTGCTGCTGCTGCTTCGAGAGAGGAAGATCCCCAACAGCAGATCTAGGCAGGTGGTGCTGAGGAGGCGGTGGTTTAAGATGAGGACATGCATAGTGTGCAGACATAGCATTCATTGAATACATCCTGGTTATTATAAAACATATGTAAGAGTATACTGATTCATTCATTCATACAGTAAGGTTTATTAATTCATTCAGATTAATTTAGTAACGAAACACATGATTGTCTTCATGATTTATTCAGAAACAAAACACTTGACTGCATATAATGAATGAGTTAGTGAATTATTAATTTAACTGATTCATTCAAAAGCGCGAATTCATTCAATAACAAAACAAGTAACTGCCTTTATGAGTGAGTCATGGAATTATTCACTTAACTGATTCGTTTAGAAATTCAAGAAGGCCATTACCGCG